TACTTCAAAAAGAAAATTTATGATTTGAAAAAGGTTTTGAGGTTTTGTATTCAAGTGAGAAAAAATTGTATACAGGTGCTGGTGCCCCAAAATTCAACCCTTATCTGTTCCTGGGTAAGGGTCAAATTCAAGGTTTTATACAACAAATTTGTCATTTTGAGTCTTTCTGAAGGTTGAATTGTGGTGCAAGAGGTCAAATTACCCCAACTACAGGGTCGTTTAAGTTGACAACTTAAAACCCTACCAGTTTAACGGGCAGTTGTTTAAAGGTCCATGGTGGTTTTGACGAAAAGAATGAACATATTTCCTTAAAACCTCAACCTTCTTACGTTACCACCTAATTCTTTACAGTTTTGGCGATACTGCTTTTTAAAGTGTTATTGTCCTACGATTTCATGGTTCATCCTGCGTATGACAGATGTCACCCCTAGTCATCACATACCGTTCGGTTCAACAAGGCCGTTATTGAAATATGAAACAACGGGTTTCCCGGCATTAGCAAAATAGAATGAAAAAAAGAAAAAAATAACAGATACGTTAATTGACCAGTTGTCAATTGATTTTACTGAGTATAGTAACATACTGTATAACAGTATATTTAAATAGCCAAATGCATCAAATACAGTAACTGCAGAAGGATGGTGAATGACATTTTTCCTTAAAAGGCAGCGAGAAACTGGAACAAAGTTTGTATCATTTTAGATAATTTTTCAACGTAAAAGCTTAAGATTATCCTTTAACGTGGTTTATAACAGGTAGTGACGTATACTTAATAAGTTCCTACTTTTTTCGAGATCTCTTACATTTTAAATGATTTGCGAAATAATCAGTGGCAGGTGATTATTTTTTTCTCTCCATATATGCTTTTGATTTCCTTGGTCTTGCACTTTTTTGACCAATCGCAACTCTCCCAAAAATCATCCAATTTCTCCTTCAAGTATTACTAAAGACCACATATATACAATATTAGAGGTCTTCTAAACTTATATGATTTAAATCAGCATGTTCCAAGGCTTTGCAATTCGCAGCAGGTGTTCTCAAAAAAAGGGAAAACGAAGTTATACTCGTCATTGGGACGAAACGAATTAAATTAGAGATTTCCTATAGAAATCCTCAACACATCCCAGGCTGAATATTATTGCGTTTATTTCATTTCATTCAAACCAATTGACTATACTAAATCAAATCTCCTCTTCTATGCATCAGCCACTTCCCACGCACACAAAAAACTACTTCAAAAGTCAAAAGAACGGTGACATGTCTCAACTTCTCTTTATACTCCTTCTCATTCTAATGGGGATTCTTCTTCTTCTTCCTCTTCTAGTGGCAACCGGTGTTAAAACTGGTTCCTCTTGTGGGAAAGTGGAAAAAAGAAAACCTGGTTTCTCCTCGAAAAGGTGATCATTTTCGAATTCTAATAGGAAATTGCACCAAATATTGTCCATCACTGCATATGAATTATTCAAGGATGAAAAAAGCTCTAGAGAATGTAAAATTTACTAAACGCTTTATTAGTCACCGTCCACTAAGTTTTTTTTCTCTCCATATATGCTTTTGATTTCTTTGGTCTTGCACTTTTTTGACCAATCGCAACTCTCCCAAAAATCATCCAATTTCTCCTTTAAGTATTACTAAAGACCACATGTATATACAGTACCATATTAGAGGTTCTTCTAACTGAGATGATTTAAATTAGCATGTTCGAAGGCTTTGCAATTCGCAGCAGGTGTTCTCAAAAAAAGTGAAAACGAAGTTATACTCGTCATTGGGTCGAAACGAATTAAATTAGAGATTTCCTATAGAAATCCTCAACACATCCCAGGCTGAATATTATTGCGTTCATTTCATTTCATTCAAACAAATTGACTATACTAAATCAAATCTCCTCTTCTATATGAAGCCACTTCCCACGCACACAAAAAACTACTTCAAAAGTCAAAAGAACGGTGACATGTCTCAACTTCTCCATACTTTATACTCCTTCTCATTCTAATGGGGATTCTTCTTCTTCTTCCTCTTCTAGTGGCAACCGGTGTTAAAACTGGTTCCTCTTGTGGGAAAGTGGAAAAAAGAAAACCTGGTTTCTCCTCGAAAAGGTGAATGCAACAATTGAGTTGTCTTGTTCTTGTAGCAGAGCGGAATAGCAATAATCCATCTTGCCTCAGAGTGAAAACGATTATTCTGCGTCCCAGAAACGCGAGACTCTGAGTATCTCCCTTTTGCCAGCCTCCGCCACGCCCTCGGCTCATCAGGCGGATCCATTACCAAACCCTCGAAAAAGGATCCCTCGAAACGCACACAAAAAAATAAATAAAATGTACGAGAAAAATAAAAACAATAAATGTGAAGAATGCGAGTTCATTGCTCAAAAGGTTCCTTCTGAAAGTTGCTTCGAACAAGGGGGAAACCAAGTGCGAGTCAAATTTTGTTGAAAATGAAAATAATCAGTGACCTTTTCTTGAAAATGAAAAGAATTCTTGAAATTTTATAGAAAATTTTATAATTCATTATAATATTTACGCAAAAAATTGAATAAAAGTTACATAATGAAATAACAAAAATAAGAAAATTTACAGAAAAATCATACTGTATAACAAATAAATGTGAAGGATGTGAGTTCATTGCTGAAAAGGTTCCTTCTGAAAGTTGTTTCGAAAAAGAGCGGGGAACAAAGTGCGACTCAAAGTTTGTCGAAAATGGAAATAATCAGTGAGATTTTCTTGAAAATGAAAATAATTCTTGAAATTTTGTAGAAAATTGTATAATTCATTATAATAATTATGCAAAAAATTGAATAAAATTTAAAAAATTAAGTAAAAAATAAGCAAATGTACAGAAAAATCATACTGTATAAAAAAATGCGAAGAATGCGCATTCATTACTAAAAAGGTTCCTTCGTAAATATAATTCGCTTTGAAGAGGGCTTTACAGAAAAAAGAAAACTAAATACGGGTTGACACTCTCTACAACAAAGTTCTCTTTAGAATGGTTTTTGCGTCACCTCTGTAAACTTTTTCAGGGATTTTCTATACAATTTACAGCGCAAATTCAAGCCATTTTTAAAAATTTCCGTTTCATTTCAACAGCTTCCAGAAAATAAGCAGTTGTTCGAGTTTATTAATTCAACTTTTTGGTCTCCCTCTATGAAGCCGTAAGCCATTTATTCTGAATTTGTTCTTAACACTTTTGATTGAATATAGTGAAAGAAAAAATCCATGAGAGCAGAACATTTATTTTTTTATCGTTGTTATTCGTATTCAAAATCATCCTATTCTCTACCGAATTCTCAGTCATGATATTTGATCTTTAGTGGATTGATTTTTTTATTGTAACAATCGAAGAAAAATGTTATCCAACCTCTCTCAACTTTCCATGGCCTTTTAAAATTGAAAACAATTCTTTGAAATAATTTCTGAAGAGCCGTTGGTGATGTTTCAATCGCACTCGTCAGACCAGTTTTAAACCTCGAGTCGAGTCGTTTGAAAATTTGGTTAAAAACATTTTTCGTACCAAAAAAAAAACATACGCTTGATTTTTTGTGACATCTAGAACGACCCATTCCCTAACCTTTTTCAAGGACTTCTATATCAGGGGTTTCGACACAGCACAAATCAAGAAGAATAATAAATGCATTATAATTTGAAACTACGTTAAAAAATACGCATACACTGAAGAAAGACCTCGATACAGGAAAAAAAGACAAAACATTCTTCCTTTTTCTTCTAAAAAAAAAAAAGTTAGAGAAAAAGATCGCTTTCGCTGGCGTATTTGTCTTGCGAACCGACGCCCATATCGCGGGTTTCTTTTCTGCCTCGTCACATCTCCGTTGTTGCCCTTCGTTTATTTCCTTGCGAAAATCAATAAAATGAAGTAAAAAAAAAATCAACCTTTTTCCTTTGAAGCTTCTCTTGCTTAAAGAAGAGGATCATCCCACGCAACTTGTTTAATGATGCCGTGTCTGCGTGACAAAAGATCTTCTTGGTGTCGGGGGAAGAACAAGGCGAAGAAGTGAGGCTTCAGTTGCGAAACTCGGTCGCCTCTGGGCTTGCCTTGGATTGAAAAAAAAAAAGTGGAATATAACCCTGAAAAAATTGGTGGATTTCTAAAAAAAGAAAATGCTGCTTTCATTCAATTTTAATTGCTCGATTTGTTTTCGCCGAAAATAGCGCGTGCATATTTCAAAATTAACAGCGTATCCTCCTCAAATCTTTGAAAGGCGAAGGAGAACTTTGAATATCGAATTTTTTGGTGGATCTGTAATGAGCAGGTTGAATCTGGGTTTTTGTCGTTTTATAAATGTGAATCAAGCCGAGAAAATTCTTGTGGAAGTATTACACTTTAATTAGCTTTTACATCAGCAGTTAAAATTTAAATGATCGTTTTCTTTCGCCGATCCAAGGCTAAACAAATCTTCCTGACCTTCTCAATACTTGACGAGTTACTTTTTGAACCAAAAATTGAAGAAAAACCAGGACTTTTTAAAGGTTTTCTCGCTATGAGAATAAAATACTGTACATATTTTCAGTACCTTATTAAGGGATTTAGCTACGTCTTATCAGTGATCCCTTTAAATCAGCATTTAAGGGATGATTTTCTTCAAAACTTGCTAGTATAGAAAATAGAAATAGTTTAGAGCGGTTGAAATTCGAAATAGATATTTTGGGAGCGCGTTTAAATATTTTAGTCTCATCATCGGAATTTTTTCTTCAAGCAAAAACATCTCGAATGTGAACCGTGAAAAAATAATTTTTCGATCATCTAACTCAAAATCTTCCAATAACCATAATTTATTTAAAGTTCATCAACATCCGACTCTAATAGCCTTTCGCTTCAAGATTTTCCAATCGGATTAAAATTGGAGAAAGTCTAGAGGAAATTCCATCAGATTTTTTCAAATAATCAGCACATACATTACATGCTGAAATACAATACGTACATATTGAAGCAACTGAAATAATTGAATTGAAGTTTAAAATATTGTGTGATGCTCTTGTGATTTTAGGTGCATCTCCCGAAGAACAACATCGACAATTTTTGCGAAATGTCGCGAAAGTGACGCGAAAACTTGATCAGAAGCTCAGTGGATTTAAAGAGAAGAAAAAATCGGAATGTTTTGGAGTGTCTTTGAGTGTGTGAAGTTCGGAAATGATTGACAAGTGGTGAAGAAAAACCGTGGGTCAAAAGACTCAAGACATTTATCAGCCCTTTCGTGGAAAAACCATGGAGTTGTTTCGGAATTTCTGCGGTTTTCATCTTTTGGCGTTGAGTAAGTTCACTTTCGCACCTGTGCCCCCCTCAAGAAAATTAGATGCCAGAGAAACTTCCGTTCATCACTCAGAAATATTTTCTTGACAACCCATAACGAGCTTTCCAGAGAAAATGCCTTATTATTCCCCTCCCTCCAAAATTGGAAGAGGGCAGAATATATGACACAAATTAACCACAAAAAATCACAAAACAATTCCCTTGAAAAAAAGTATAGATAAGAATGTGAAGAATGATAGAATGCCTTTCCACACCCCCTGCGTTCTCAGAAAACAGAAAATCCCAAGGATTTTAGCTCCTTTCGTTTTTTTTCCATTCCGAGTATACCAGAAGGCAGGGATTCTCTTGTCAACACCTTACAAACAACTTGCTGACAGTGACAAGATGGATGATGTGTCCTCCCTCTTCCATCCCCCATGTTTGTTTATTTTTGTTGTCTTCTGAATCTTTTTTATGTTGAAAGAAAAAAACGAAACGTTCTTTGCCATCAACCAAAAATTCAATAAGCGATTGGGATATTCACTTGAATAATCTTTGCTCTTGAAATATAATTCCGAAGTGGAAGTTACTCAACACAAGAGTTTTTTTTATAGTGGTTTTTGTTGTTGTTGGATACTTATCCCTTGATATGGTTTGAAATAATGCATCCGAAGTTTGTATTTGAAGTCCATTTCAAGTTCATCAAATCCATTCCTGAAAATGTGCGCCAACATTTTTCATAATCAAAATTAGGAATATATCAAATGTCCTCACAATTAACAATAAAAATTATAAGTACAAATATAGTTGCAAAATTTGAAGATAAGTGGATTGAATCACATTAAACTCGTATTTTTTTATGCAGTCAACCCCTGCACAATGGACTTAATTTAAAATTTTTACTTTTTACCATTAATTTTAAACAAACATTGGTCTGTTATGCAGATTTAGTCCATTGTGTGGAGTGTAAAACTGCCTCCAGATGCGGTCTGTTGTGCAAAAATCTGTTGTGCAGGAGGTCTGTTGAGCGGGGTTCACTGTACTTTTGATTGTCCCAGGATAGCTGGTATAAACATCTTTTGGCATGAAATTTTGTCAATATTTAGCAGAAAGCCCAATTTTCCTCCAAATTTTTTAAAAAGGTGTGTGTGACACTTGAATGAATGCACTATAATTGTGGATATATTGCAATGTAAGCTTCAAAGATATATTTTCTGCATAAATCTCAGATAAAAAAATTGCTGTTACCAGATTCTACCTGTATTTTATTTGCAATCCATTTCCACGAGGTCTAAATTAAAAATGCACCTAAAATATGCTTCAACTATTTAAAAAATGAAATCAGGGGAAAGTACTGGGTAAACCTTCCTTGCTCATTCTACATAAAAAATCTAAATGTCAAGGAGTTTCTATTACAGTATTTTTGTGAGAGTTCTCAAGGCTCAAGACAACCCTTGTTTCTGGTCACTGAATGTTTCTTACAGTAAATAAGCTTGCTTTTTTTTAAGGTTTTCTTCTACTAGCTGTTTTGGCCTCCGCTGAAGATTTTTCAACTGAAGTGAAAAGAAGAAGACCAAAGTGCCACAAGTTTGCTGATGGCCAAGGGAACATTTCAGACAGACTCAATTCCACCATGATGTTAGAGGACCTGAGACAATACCTGAAGCACTACTACACTGCATATGTAGTGACATGGACCAATGAACATCTGGTAAATAAAACATTTTAGTATCCTTTTCAAAGCCTCCTGATGATGCCTTCTTCTTTAGTTTTTTTTTTGAAAATCAAAGCCAGAAAGCTTCAAATTGATCATGTGGAAAACCATCACTGAACTTCTTTAAATTTCAACTGAAGTCTGTCTAAATGGAGGTTTTGAAAGATGTACAGTCAACCCCCGTCTAACGGACTTGATTTGTGCAATCGACCAAGGCAAAACTGCGTCATTTTGCATGATTATGCAAAATTTGACACTTTCTGAAAGAAACGGTGCCCAGAACCTCCGAAAGGATTCTCTTGCCAAAGCAATATGGAACTTCCCTGTTAGGCGGGGGGCCACTGTATACTGTACATGGTGTATGTTGATTATTAAACACTTGCTTGCAATCGAAATCTGCAGATGGAGTTCACAGGAAAGTGTGAAAACAGACTGGCTGCCATTTCTGGGTTTCCAGGATTTGGTTATGCAGTCATCACAGGGGACAGGGCAACTTTGTGGACCAAAAAGATGCTGGTGCCCTTGGCAGACAGAACTGTTGATTGCAACTGGCAAATCCTGGAGCTGGATTCTGTGAGAAAATTGAAGGCTCATATAATTTGTGTGGGGGGTTTTAATGAAGTCTATAATCTTTCACAGAAGGTGCAATTGAGCCTTCCTCAATATCTTGACAAATTTGTCAAGCGGAAAGGAGAGAGACAAAATGTTGTTGTTGTTGACCCAACCTTGATCTCAGCAACCACCTTCTTGGACTGGAGGAGTCAACTTGGTGAATTCCTTTTTACTGCAGTGCAACCTCCCTCAAATTTTAAGCATAATTGGTTTATATGAATATTTGGGGTCTTTAATTTGCTGAGTATTTTTGTCCCTTGTGGGTAAAAGATGGGGGCGCAGTTTTGTACTGGTGGTACCTTGCAATTCAACCTCCCACAATTTGACTGGCTTGCAAGTTGACAGTTGAATTTGTAGGGAGGTTGACTTGCAATTTGACCTTTGCCCCACAATTCAACCAATGTTGTTGGGCATGCACGCTAATGTACAATATAATACCTAAAGTTTGTAGAAATATCCTCCCCTCCTCAAAATCGCAGTGTTAGGCACATCCTTTTTTATTAAATTTTGTAGTGATATTCTTGAATTTCAGAGTGTCTCACAAGTTCACTGCTTTGCAATTTGACCCTAGTTTTGCAATGGATTAAGGTTGTATTGCAAGGTACCACTGGCACTGTCATGTTTGGGACAAGTCCATACTTTTAGCCATTTGCAATACAAATATTGTACACATATCTTGTGTTTGTTGCTATATAATTCAATCATTTCTGGTTTGCTTCATCCCTGCATATTCAATTTTGATTTTTTTAGAGCAAGGTCTTGACAAGGACATTTTTATATTCAGAGAAAGTCAACATTTATTTTGGAGGCATGAGGGAAAACCTGGTGGACAGGGTCTGGAGAAACAGAGCCCCTTGTGCTAGGCAAAGTGTTGTGTATCACTTGCCAACAGCCATGACAGGCAAGCCCTGGGTAGAGAAAGTCAAAGAGCTCAGAAAGGACCTCAGAGACCAGTTGGTGGATGGCATCCTGGTGACAAGCCCTGATGAAGTTGCTTGGCTGCTCAATCTCAGAGGGAAAGACTTTTCCTACCAGGAACTTTTCAGGTTGCTATACCTCCCATCACAACTAAATCTGTTAAACAATTTTTAAAGTTTAAGCTGTTCTACTAATTGGTAAAATTTCCAGTATATTTAGTTACGAGGGAACATGCTTTTAAATTTGATAATATTTTTATAACCGTCAAGTACTTGAAACAACTTTTGTTATTGATCTTGGTATTTACACTGAAGATAGTGCTGAAGAAGTTTGATTATTTGTGAAGCTTGCATGTTAGTTTATTTTGCATCCGAATTTTTTTGAGGAATCTAACTTTTCTAAGCTAAAGATACAGAAAAATGTTCAAAAACTTCTCTGATCTCTACAATATATTTAAGCTGCCACTGTTTATACATACATCAACTTCACCCTCAAAACATGTGCAATGCAAAAATTCATTTGTGAAAATATAAAATTGCAATCTGCCAAAATAAATTTTCTCCGCATTCAAATGGCATGCTTAAAACATCGGCTGATTGGTAGAAATTGATTAACAAATTTCCGTGAAGCATACGATTTAAAAAGTATTACTGTAACACAAAATAAACTATGCCCTTGTAAAAAATAGGGTTATAATTTTGTTTGCAGATCTTATGTTTACCTGAACCAGAGCTCTGTGCACCTCTTTGCCAATGGATTGGAAAAAGAAGCTCACAGAGCCCTCAAGACAAGAACCTGCGACCAAGGCAAAAACTGCGTCATTTTGCATGATTATGCAAAATTTGACACTTTTCTGAAAGAAACGGTGCCCAGAACCTCCGAAAGGATTCTCTTGCCAAAGCAATATGGAACTTCCTTCGGCGTCAGCACTTATATTTATGAAACTGTGAGTAATTTTTCTTTTTCAAAAGCCAAACTGAGATTTTTTTCATGTGTCTGAAAATGAATTCACTCTTTATTAGATTGACCAGCAAATGGGAGGAAGATTCAAGTTCACCAAGTCCCCAATTCAAGACATGAAAGCTGTGAAGACGACTGTTGAAATTCACGCCATGAAAGAAGCAAATTTCAAGGACTCTGTGGCTTTTGTGTCTTTCATGGCTCAGCTCGAGCAAAAAGTACTTTCAACAAACATTTTTATCCATTAAATTTTGTTAGCAAATTTTATTTGGCCCAATTTGTCAGGTGAAAATTGGACTGAGTGTGTCAGAACATGTTGCAATCAATATGCTGGAAAAGAAGCGGGAGGACCAAAAGTGGTACGTTGGCAACAGCGTTCATCCAAGATCCTATTACGGAATCAACACAGCGGATCCAACTTATTCAGCTTCTCTGAAGCAATCACTTCCCATAGGAAACAATTCACTTTATGTGATACACTCTGGAGCCCACTACAGAGGTAAATGCTTTTTTATTCAATCTAAAATGTATTAACTTCCAAGAGATCCATATTTATTTTTAGAAAAAATAAAGATGTTTGAATATGAAATACAGTAGGTATAAAGGTAACTGTATAAGCAAATGATGAGCCACACTTCTTCTAACCAGTGGTTCATAGAACTGGCAATTGTCTGCAAAAGTTTTTGCTGGTCTGCGTGAAATTTTCTTTAGCATAATAAATTCACCAGCCGAAGTAGCAACGAAGTCTAGAAGGCCAATGGCATTCAAAATTATCTTATGGAATATGAAAGCTGGATTTTCTCCTAATTATGCTTCAGACAAATTTGCACCAGCTGAAATACAATATTTAATTTTTTCTCTGAGAAACCTTCTTCAAGCCCAGCATCTTTCTGAATTTTTGAAGACTAGATACTATAGCTGCTTCATTTGCTCTCAACTTAATTTTTGTAAAAAGTTAGACACTTTTTAAATACCTGCCATTTAGTCTTTCAAACCCATTTTTAAAATTCTGCAATAAGTTTTGAAACTTTGCTATTTTGCAGAAAAAAATGTTTGCAGATTTTTGCAATTCTGCAAAAAATTCTCTGTCTACTCTGCTAGCTCAAAAAGATTGGGAACACTGTTTTATGGGGTAAAAATCACTTCATTAATTGATTACTTTTTTCAAATTGGTGTGATTTTTTCCTTGGTGAAATTTGTAGCTTTCAGGTAGATCTTATCTAAAATGCTTTGTCAATTCACAGATGGTACCACAGACATTGCCAGAGCTCTGCATTTTGGTACACCACAGGTGTACCACAAAAGGGTGTATACTAAGGTCCTTGCAGCACATATTGAGTTAGCCAGAGCTGTGTTTCCTAATGGTACCACAGATGTCCAGTTGGATGGTCTCCCAAGAGGGTTGTTGTTTTCTGATGGACTTGAGTATTTCCATGAAACAGGGAATTCTCTGGGGTTCTTATCATCAGCAAAAGAAGGTGAGCTGTTGATTGCATTGGGTTATTTGGAGGAAACAAAACGCTAGAATTTCTGAATAGGTCCAGTTACAATTCAGGTTGATGGTGAGAGACATGAGCTGAAGGAGAACATGATCATCACAATTGGCAAGTGTTTTAAAAATTACCAAATTCTATACTGATCTGACGTTAACAAGTTTCTTTATCCAGGACCAGCTGCTTACCTGCAAGGAAAATTTGGGGTCAAACTGCAAAACCAATACCTGGTTGTTGTAATGAAGAGGACTGGGTTCAGTGAATCTGATCCAAAAACCTACTTAGGGTTCCAACCACTGACTTTTGTGCCCTTTGAGCCATCCTTGATTGACTGGAAATTCCTGAGCTTTGAACAGGTGAGTCTGAATAGTATTTATCCCATAGTATAATAAGTTTCCCTTGTTCAGCATGTGCCATTACGAAAATTGTGGGGTGTCTCTCTGATTCTTCAGATTTCAGATTTTAAAAATAAAATGCTTTTATAATTGAATTCACTGTACATTACTTTATTTTTTTGAAGGTGGCTTGGCTGAACAAGTACAATGATGACACCAGGAGGTTCATTGGAGATCAGTTACTGGCCAACAAGCAAACCCTGGCCCATGAGTGGTTGGTAGAAAAAACCAAGATGGCTTCCTCAGAGAACTGCATTCTGGCTGCCATTCAGTCTTCAGCAAGAAGTATAGCTTCAAGTTTATCAGTAATTATGCTTCTAAACGTGATAGTGTGTTTGCTTCTGGCTTCCTAACACAAATCCCGGAGATTTTTAAAATAAAATTTATAGATAATTGCTAATTGAACAACTTTGTTGTCTGGAAAAGTTTGATGTCATGGCTTTTTGTCAAGAGTGAGAATACATGATCTGGGGATTTTTCTAATTCGCGTTGTTTTTTTTTGTGGCTCATAATCTTTTCAATGAAACATTTTATAGGTGGTAATTTAACCAGATGGTTCTAAATATTTTTGTCAACTTTTTGAAGCTAATGTAAGTTAAATATTCATTTATTATACTTATTGTTAACATAGCAGTGCTAAATTGGTAAACCTCTTCCTAAAAATTAAATTTTTGAAGGACATTTTACATATGCAGAATTATCAATACTGTAATTGGCAAGGTAAGGACATTTTGATTCATGGAAATCGTTTTCTTTGGATCGTACTTGTTGTTCCAAGAAGATTTTCAAATCGTTTCTTGTATTTTGTACTGCTCATATAATGAGTTTCAAGCTTTGAGGAGAACTGAACAATATTTCATAGGGAAATTTAAAATTTTCATGTTAGCTACCAGCTTTTTCTTCAATTCAAAATAGTCAAACAAACCGTGAATCATTTAATTCTCTGAACATGGTAAGCTCAACTACATTTATAAAGAAAGACTTACTGGTCAGAAAATAAAAGGATCATATTCTCATTTCCAAAAATATATTCTCATTAATTATGTAGGCCTGAAAAAAGTTCTTTAGACTAGAGTTTAAAATAAACTTAAATGGACGATCACCGTTCTCACAGTTAAAAAATCGAATATTAAGCAGAGGTTTCCCTGTTTGTATGCGAACGTCAGATCGAATTTATCTTCCGGTGAACATGTTACTTTTCAAAATTCTGCTCAATGCTGCAGCAGCGACATCTAGATTTGTACGCAAGATACATAGGCAAAAATTTGAGCTTTTTGTAGTCTCGATGACACTAAAAACTCGATTGCTCGCAACTTGTCAGAGAAGTTGGAAAGATTATTTCATTTCTAATATGTCCATAATTTAATGACTGAATCCTGTTTTTACGCGCGTGTTTTTTTTGTTTCCTTTAAAATGAGACGAACTACATGTGCGTATACGAGTAACTTCATGAGTCACTGTAAATACAGTTGATGAAGAAATTAACACAAGAACATACTCCGATGCGAGGTACAGCAATTCCCCTCGGGAACAGCACATGAATCCCAAGTCGGGACCACAGGGTTGCAGGGATCCGAGAGAAACCCCATCAGCAAGTAAAACATCTACCCAGATTCCAGAAATTCGTACAAGTTCAAATGGATTAAGGCATTTCGTATGTCATTTATTCAAAAGTTTTGTGAAATCATTCCTTACTATATTCACCCCAACAAATTTTGAATTTATTCCTAATTCATCCAATTGTAACAACACCTTACAAAAAACATCTAGAAAATTTCTTGCGAGCTGTAGTAAAAAAAAAAGAAAGACTGAATGACTCTCTAAGCAGAACTACATTAGTTACATTTTTCGTGATTTAAAATGTCTATTCTTCAGTTTTCTTCCCTTCCTTCTAAACCTGTACTGCACTATATATATTCTTTGGATATTATACAGATATTGCAACATTTAAAGCACACTACCGGCCTTAATCAATCTGAATAATCCCCGGAAAACACCATGTATTCTATAATTTTGCATGCGCAGACCCTGAATGTTATTTTACAAAATTTTATATAAGCTGGATGGGAATTATTGCGAATGATTCATCATCCAAAACCCAAGACGAATCTAAATTTCATCACCCTGATCCTTATTATGGACAGGGAAAAACATGACATAGAATATGGAGTGTTTTTGTTTGTGGAAGAAAAGTACAGTATATTGACCCTTACATGGACAATTTTATCACGAATCTTGCTGCTGATTTCAGCATGATACTGATGTGACTTTTCTAATGAAAACTCGGATGCACATGAATCATATGACAAAAAGACTGACTGAAAGTAGATACAATTTGCTTCTGTAAGTACTGTATTGTAATGATCTGGAGCTACAATTTATTGCATGAAAGAGGCTCATTATATTGGCATACTCTGTACAAGAAACTCAAGGGATCAGAAAAAAAATATCTGTAGACAGAATTTTGCTGTTGAGAACTCCAATAACATGGGGAGAGAACCCAATGGGATCACAAAAACATGTTATACAGAGAAAATCATTGTGAAAAAATTGTTGTACCAAGTGTCTACCTGTATTATAGCTTTACTGTATGGTTAAATCACCCTTCATTACAGTCAAATGATTAACAAAAAACTTGCTATAATCAAGAGTTTTTGAGCTATTGGGGAAATTTGAATTTTTTTTCTGAAAAACTTTACAACAAATTCTCCTAGACATTAATCTTTCAGGCTTCAAAGTGCATGGAAAAACAAATCAGCAGGAACATGCACTTCAAAGCAAGGGCACATTCGCCTAATTAGTCACCACAAACTTTAGTCTAAATATCATATATGAGCTTACAAGTTTATTGCTTTTCCGTTTCTTTGGTTCCTACAAGCCACAGACTACTAAGTACCTCAGGCTTTACAGGCATTTTTACAGATTTGTTTTTTCAAATTATCATGAAGACACAAAGGTACATAACACATAAGAGAATACAAAAAAAGGAAAACACTGCAATGCAATCCAAATTTGTTGCTTCCTCGGGATCTTTTCCGCGTGGGAGAGTTCAAATAATAATAATAAATCATTAAAAACAATCTAGGAACAGCATGAAAAAAATTAAATTTCTGGGAACATATTTCTTTCTGGGAATGGGAAACCTGGTGAGATTTCATGTAGCGCAATGACTAACGCTGTGATTCCCCAGAATTCAGTTGAGGCAGGCACGCTGTGTCTTTGATGGCGGCAGGTCCTCGCCAGCAGCAAAGGAAAGGGAAGCCCTGCAAGTGATGCAGAAATGCAGCCTGCGTAGACACATGTAAGGCATATATATATATACAGTATATATATATATATATGTATATATATATACAGGGGCTGCACACCAAAAGAAGGCATAGGATCCTCTGGGTTAGAGTGGGGAGTATAGAGTTAGAGAACCATAAGCAGACCCAGAAAAAAATGGATGAGAGAGTCAAGGGGAACTCAGGATGGTGGCAGCAGCAGCAGCAGCACCAGCAGCAGCAGGATGATGCTGTGCACCCACAGAGACTCAAGTTGACCGCAAGGGAAGGCCTTTCCCACCCCCTCTTCGACACTCTCTCTTCCACTCTACAATACAGTACTGTACATGTATTCCTCCTACGTAACACTGGTTGGGGGGGGGGAGTGGGGTAAATGTCTTCTGCGACACTCCCTCACTGCGAGCAACGCCACCTGTCTCACACCGTCGTCGCCCTTCCTCTCCGTTTGTCTGTGTTTCTTCCCGGGGTATAACACAAGGTCTATCTATCTCTTTTCGGCAAGGCGGGATGTCTCTCTCTCTCTCTCTCGCGGATGCGATGTCTGTGTCTGCGACGCGCGAGAAGATGCTTGGCTCTAGCGTGGATGGGGGAGGGTGGTGTGGGAAAAAGCGGAAGAGACGCGACGGACAGCGTGAGAAGATGCGGTTCTGAACGGCTGTCATTCCGGCGCGGCCGCTGTTGGATAAAAGGAGGAATTTCGTTTCACGTAGGAGTCGTAAGGGAATCGTGCTTTCTGACAGCGACCGGCAACCGGATTAGTCAGCCGTGTGTCGGTCGGGTGCGAGAAATGGCCGGGATTCGGGAGAGGAGAGTGAGAGTGTAGCTCTCTCTTCCTCTGAGGGGGGTGCCGCAGTTCTCGCGGAGGCGTCACCGGAGCGAGTCGTAGTTTCGGAGGGACTCACGCGAAAATTTTTTTTATCGTTTTTCTCGACGCGTGCCGCTTTTCTGTGTGAATCATCGTTTCCAACTGTCATTCTTAACGCATATTGGTTTGTATGTACATTACGTTACTGTGTTTGCCGTGCGCCGTGGAGCCCTCTTGTAGGTCTTCGCAGTTGTTCAGTGGAAATAAAAGAATATGCTTCGCCTTGGTCAATTAAGAAACCAGCCTAGTGTCACAAATCTTTTTGCACAAAGCATCTGTATTGCTTCGTGAACGTGTTGCTTCAGATAGCAGACCATGCTTCGGATAAAGGACCGGGTGACGAGTTTTCATGCTTGAAGGGAAGGAAAGAAGTTTCTGTGCAATTTTTGTTGCTTTAGTTGCGAATATGAGCGTTTTTAGAAGCCTTGAACATAGATTAATCTATAATGTGTCTTTTTGCTCCTGTTCTTCGATCGTTGAGAAACATAGAACAATTTTTTATTGATAATTATGCCTCAGGATTGCCGAAGAACAAGGTTCCCTGGGTTCTAAAGTCATTTGACTCTGTTTCAATGATCTGTAAATGGTTTGATCTTTCTTTAGTATTTCACGTTGTATGTTTCTCAATACAACGTTTCTGCTTTCAATTGAATGAAGTTGTTGAAAATTTTTGATTTGAAGAAGACATTGCGAAACTATCTGTGAGAAAGGAAAACCAGTTTCGGCACATTCACGAGTCGTATGTCGTAGCTTCACATATTGATCAATTAATGTTCTTTTCATCTCGAAAATATTAGTACAGTATAAATTTATTCGTATTCAGAATAGTCAGGGGTGAAAGCTTCCGGTTGGGGACTGATTTTGTTTCTTTTTAACATGACACAACTTGACAGATAAATTTGAAGATGTAAGACCAACGTAGACCGAATCAAACTTTTTATGCATGATACTGTATAGGATATGCAATGAGTTGTAACATTTAGGATCCACAAAAATATTTTAGTGCCATAAATTCTGTAACTTGAAGTACAGATGACTACAAAATAACTCAACAGATTATTAGCTTAGGGCTCCAAGGGTCAAAATAAGAGTACATTTTATTCCAGAAAATCAAATCTCTCATAATACCCCTGTGGATGAAACAGATTTATATTAAGATTTACATATACGGTACTGTATGTATATTGTATACATACTTAGTAAGAAATATAAATGGTTGAAAAATTTGGGTACTTTTCTAAAAATTTTGAGTTGACCTATGTGGCTTGTTTTATCTGAAAAATAGTACAATCTATCGGAATTCAAGGTAAAACAAAGTGTTGGAGCATTTAGGCAGCTTGCAAGCAATATATGTTACAAGTTCTCTTTAGAGATCTTAGAGTTGTATGTTAGTTTTAATCAAGGGAAAACATGAGCAGCGTGCTTCCGTGCAGTTTTTAGTGAGAGTGACGCTATTCCATCATCCACACATGCAAAATTCACCAAAGCAACATTATGCAAAGCAATAGCAAATTCTGTAACAGGTGAAATCAAAATAACCAGTCAGGTGCACATAGAGCACCAGGATATATCAGATTAAAACAGCAGTTCCTTTGTGAAAAATGCAATTAAAATAATTCAAAGTACACAGAAAGAAAGGCAATTCAACATGAAATAAGAAAATACCCTAAATATCTGAATAATGACCATCAATGAATATATTCATTTGAGGCCAGGCAACTTTTCAATGAGTAACTTGAATGAAAATTTCATTCCTAATACATGATCGTAGGCGGACAAAAGGTTGCATTTAATTTATGTAGCAGACCTATTTGATAACAGGTCCATGAATGAATGAATGAATGAACAGAACACTTTATTTGCCGCTTTTCAGCGTTTGAAAGGTTCAATCAAGATTTCCACAACCAAACCTATTATATATATTTCATCATAATAAATGCTGTTACTCAAACAGCAGTATAATTGAAGGGAGTATGGCGGCTTTTTNATGTGAATCAACCGTTGCCATTTGCATTCGCTTTGCGGAGCCCCAATTGCGTCAGATAGAGATCCCCAGGGGCTCCGCGGCCTCTACATATATAAACTCTGTGTAGATAATAAGAAATTTGAAAGGAATACAAAAATCAGAATGGAAACGATAATCAATTAAAGATTAGCTCCAAGAAAACAGACGCGCAATGATACATTTAGTCAGAAGATTTGATGAAACATTTTCCGCAAAAATCCTTTTAGAAATCTCAAATACCATTATGAAATTCCCAGAAGAGATTTTCCTGCGATACAAGTTCCACAAGCCCAAAAGATTGCATGAAAGTCTCATTCAGTTGTTTGAACAGTTTAAGGAAGGAGTAAGAAAAGTTTGCAGAGTAAGATGGGTTGAGTTGAATATTCGGGGATGTTTTTCCCGAGTTCATTCATGCCGGCTGAACTTTTTGATTACTCAGATTTATGTCTTCCATTCAAGAAAAGTTTCAGTTCTCAACTTGATGACATATCAGAGCAGATGCAGCAGAAGATCTCTGAATGCATGTCTGTCAGAAAATATTTGCTTTGACATTCTTGTTTTTTTTTGCGCCTGTTTGATGAGATTTAGTTGTAGGTGCGCCATCTTCATATTTTAGTTGTAGTGCTTCAGTTGGTAATTTTCACTCTTTATTCATTAGCTCATAATTTCAAAATATTATTAAGTTACAGTACTTTCCTTCAAAGTCTTAAAATTGCAAAAAGCCGCCATACTCCCTTCAATTATACTGCTGTTTGAGTAACAGCATTTATTATGATGAAATATATATAATAGGTTTGGTTGAAGGGATTATTTCCATGGATGAAGGACTATGTTCAAATTAACGCTTGATTTTTAATATATATTTCATTCAACACTTATTTTAAATATATCTTCATGCTTGTCCTTTAATTAAATGAGTTATCACTGAATCCAGAAATCGGAGCATGTGCCTCCAATTAATTGTTTTACAAAAAAGGTTTGAAAACTTCTCGAAAAATGTTTTCAGAACTGCAGAAATGAATGGATTTTTTTCTTCCATTCGGACCTTGTTTGAAAAAAGTGTCATATATTGTTGCAACGTCATGATCAAGTTGATTTTTATTTTATTTTTTGCGGTGGATTCATTTTTTTCAATTCTTTAAAATTACATTTGCTGAATTAAAAAATATGCTCAGCATTGTATATTAGGTTTGTAACATGTTTTCAATCTCTTGATTTTCATTAAAAATATACTGTGGTGTTGATCTCAGAGGTTTCAGTTTTTGCCAAAGCTTTTTCCCCCATTTTTTTTCTGCATGAGTTGAAGCGTAAGAATTGCGAATTTCTAATGTTTTAAACTACGAAATGCCAATTTTAATACATTCTCTCTCGGAATTTTTTTGGCTGTTTGATTTTGTAGGTTTAGGTCAGTACAATGAAGGACATGATACTTATTGGCACTTTTTTTTCAGCTGCATTCTTGTTATTCCTGCATTTTTCAATTTTTTGAAATTGGTCTTTTATGGATCTGCAGAGCAAATGTATAAAAAACTGCGGCTTCTGGATCAAGCAAATAAAAGTTTTTGTCCACGGGAAATTGTTCACACGCGAATCTGACCCATTAAATTGTGTTCAAACTCAAAATAATACCTGAGATCAAGACCAATCAGTCACACCAGTGAAAACATCAGTTTTCCTGTCAGAAGGCTTCCAAACAAACTTTTGTTGACTTGGAATCTTTCGACCTGCCTCCACTCTGAACAGACGGATTTTCATACAAATTTGTGCGCAAAGTTTTGTGATAAATCTAGAAAAAAAAGTGTGCATACTGAAAATTATGAAGGAAATGGTGTTGAAATGCCGTGTTTTCGTGACGCAGCGGAAGAGAATGAGTCGATGAAATAATTATCCCAGACCCGCTTGGAGAGGGGTTCTTTCTTTTTCGCGTGCCCAGGGAGCGTTCATTGGTGTGATCAAAGAACCCAGTGCAATTAGGGGCTGATGTCATTTTCGCGTGGGACGAAACTTTATTGCGAACCAGAGAAAAGGGGGGGGGGGTTTCATCCTCCGTTTCCCTCTTTCTAAATCTTCTCTAACCCTCGTCCATCACCCATTTCTTTTCCTCTTTCTGTCTCGGCAAATAATTGGACCTGGTACCTGACATTATTTTTTTTCTGCGTGAGGCTGTTTTTTTTGTGTGAAGACATTCGTCTTATAATTTTTTTTAGAAAGTTCGCCAAGGAATTTCTTGATCGTGGTTCAGATGAGAACGAAAGTTTTTCGATGGTTTTTCTTGGGTGGGTTAGTTGACGGACAGCCTCGGAATTTTAACGAGGACCTGCACTTTATTTAATATAAAATTCATACGCAGAAAGGGATTTGCGGGAATTTGAACTTCGCAGTTTGGATCCATGAGAACTTGAGAAGACACAATTTTCAATTCGGGAAGATTCATGCCTTCCATATTCCCACCCAAAATTTCGAAATTCATTTTTACACTGTGAATGTTGGTAAGATATGACGGAATTTTTCGTGAACATCTGGAAGGAATGGTTCAAAATCGTTGTCAGTACTGAAGCTCGAAATGAAGTTTGTTTGACATTGGAGTTTTCTGAGTCAGATCGAAAAAAATAAATTCCTTCGACGAAGAATTTTGTCCTTTGCAGTTTTGACATATGTAATTTCTTGCTTACGAGTTCACACGTTATTAGAACATATTTAAAAAAAGCATAAATGTCACAGACATTTTCAAAATCTGAGCACGTGATGCGGAAACATCGCAGATTTGGTTTTCATTCGGAAAATCTTGCAGTTTTTCACATTATGTTTCGCATTGTACTCGGATTGGCTCAAAAAATCTTCACATGTGCCAATTGAGCCTAATTTTTCAACGCACTTGATAAAAGTTTTTAATCCATCTGCGTCTATCTCCTAATTGACATGGAAGAAGAAAATATTCAGAAATATCTTGTGA